CGACGTCCAAAAACCGATTTTGGCGAGAGATTATTGCTTTTTCGGCTCTATTTTATCAAAAATGGATTTGGGTAATGTTGATACAAGGGAAGATTAATTTTTTGTTGAAACAATAATGATTTACTTTTCTCCCTGCGTTTATTGTGGGAATTGAAATCGCGTGATGGTCTGCTCATACTGCAACGATCGGAAATGTCGATTGTGTTTCTATTTCTTTACCGAGCTCAAAACTTACCATCTTCCTTACTCTGTTTACAAAACATGACGCTATCGACTCTGCCGATCGATCCAGCAGTATACAGGACACGTGTCAGATAATCAACTTTGTAATGTGCCTTGCTGAGTGAATGAGCACTGTTTCTTCAGCTCAGTGGAAGAGCATCAGCGCGGAATCTGGAAGGTACGAGGTTCGATTTTTCATTGGGTATTTTTCATTTGCGGCTCATTTCAACCATTTGGCGGTTGATAATACTGAGTTGTTATTGTGATGGTTGACGGGAAAAAGTTATTCTTTTTGACAACTGACGGTTAAATTGTGACAAAAGAGTGACGTCTGCAGTACAAATCTCGTTTTTAAATTTCAGAGTGCTTCAGAACACTTCATCATGCACTGAATGGTGTAAATACCAAAGGGTAAAACTGAAAAGCATAACCGAATACCGTAACTGAACAGCATAGATACACAACAACAACAACAACAAATCCTTCTGGAGCCACCATAACTGTTTCCTGAAGCGGAGAAAGCAAGCAAGAACGGTGAGATGTGTTCTTAAATCTTTACTTCTTGCAGGATGTTATTACTGGGATCATATACATTAATCTATGGTGTGATTAAAGTTTCAATAGCTGTTTTATTTCTTATGTTTAGTTATTTTTTTAAGCGAAGAGTTCCAAAACTACCGCTTGTGTTCACGTTCGGTGAATCGCTGTGGTTGTACCTTCGGTCTGCATACCGAACATGCTATGCTCAGGACTAGAACGGTCAGGCTCCTGATCTGCTAAACTTTAATTTAAAGAAAGATACTTTTTCGTCTTTTACCGAGCGTCGGTCAAAAGAGAAAATTTTTGAGTCTCTGAGAGGAATCGAATTTATAAAAGACCTTCGGATTCTGCGCTCTCACCGATGCCTTCCCACAGAACCACCAGAGACTCTCCAGAGAGTCGCTAAGTCACTATTTAGTGTATATCTTCAAGATGTTATTTCTGGGATCATATGTTTAAACTACAGTGTAATTATAGTTAACATAGCTCTTTTATTTCTTCTACTTAGTCATTTCATAGGCGAACATCTCCGAAACAAGCGCCTAGGTCCACGTTCGGTAAATCATTGTGGTTCTATTTTCGTTCGCACGCTGACATGCTATGCTCAGGACTAGAAAAATCAGGTCCTCGAAGCTCTGCTTAACGCCAAAGAAAGATAGTTTTCGCCTTTTACTGAGCGTGGGTCAAAGAGAAAATTCAGAGTTTCCAACAGGAATCGAACTTATGAAAAACCTTCGGATTCTGTGCTCCGACGCCTTACCACTGAACCAGAAGAGACTCTCCAGAGAGTCATTAGGTTCATAACTTCATTTATAATCCATCAAACATAGTTAACGCTCAAATGTCTTGCATACTGCAGTACTAGTTATGTTGCTTACACCTATGGTATCGTGACCTAGGTTTTTCCTGAACCTAGTACAAATTTATTGTTTAAAGGTCTTAGAACTTCCTCTGAAGAAGTTTGAACATAATTGCGTTCGATGAAGGAGAACGATGTTCATGATCTTGGATGTCTTGTGATTTCAAGGGTGACCTCGTCACGCACTGACTTAATACTTTGAATTCTATCCACGTGCTTGTTTGTGATTTAGCGATTTTCATCTTTTACCTCAATTTCTGAGTAAAATTCTAGCATGTATCCATCGACTTTTTCGTTAAAAATAAGTTATTTGAATTGTCCTCTTTCGCTGGAGCTTACTTTTGGAAAAGGACGATTTCTAAAAATTTACTGCGCATTGTGTTTCCCCCAGACCTTATGC